GTTTCTGTGAGCCACAGTTTGCCCTGAAGGCAGCCACAGGTATGAATTCAAGGGCGATTCTCAGGTTATCTTCACTCTGACAGGCCCTGCATCAAGCTCCATGGATGAGATACACCAGCACAGGTGGGCAAGCTCACACCCTCCTTGCAGGTGCCCATGCTGGTGCTCAGGCACTGAGGGCTCAGGCCGGAGCCACCCCGCCTCCAGCTCCCTCCCACAGAGTGCCCAGGGATAGAAGAAGGCCTGTCCAGAGGTGCAAGTGGACCAGTGGGAGTGAGTAGGCAGAAGAAAACCACTTAAGACATTACTATTACTACTATTATTAAGAGAACATGCTGCTTCTAATTGCCCTCTTTAATAAGTCTGTAATTGCTGTTAAAAACAGTTCAAAAGAACTCCCCTAGGGGATAAACCACCAGATGAGAAGCCTCAATAGTCTAAGATGCAATGAACTTACAAATCTGACCCAGTGTCAACAGGGTTTTTGTTATTTTGTTGGGGTCAGTTGGTTGGTTTTGGTGACACCGGCAAGGTAATTCTTAAGCTTATGTGAATTGAGAAGACTCAAAAAAACTCAAAAAAAAAAAAAAAAAAAAAAAACCAAGAGCATTGTACATGAACAGAGCTGGAGACCTTAAGATGACCAGACATCAAGTCACAAACAAGTACGAAATCACAGAGAATAGAACAGCACAGAGTTGGTGAAAGAGCAAAAAACAGAGAGAACACGACCGAGTCTGAAATGTATCGCCAGGTAGATGGTTACCTGTTCTGTGAACAGTGACGCTGACACGGTGGGAAAGGAAGAGCTATTCCCACATATGGCACATGGAGCTAATGGACGCCCATAAGGGAAAAACGAACCCGAAAGCACCTCCCATAAATGGCCAGTGCAAATCAGCTGCAGCTGGAGGGCAGATCCAGGTTAGACCTGTAACACTGAGCTTTTAGAACACCCTCAAGATCTTAAGCTCAATAAAGCACTAATCCCAAAAGGATAAGGTCAACCAAAAGGTTGACAAATTAGTCTTTAACTCAAGAATGTCTGATCACCAAAAATGTAAAAATGTGCATTGTAGAGGGAGGTGGCATTTGCTGGAGTCACTTAACAAAGGGCGCCTCTAAGGTACGCACTCAGCAGGTCCTCACGGGGTGTCGCGCCAAACAGCACTGAGAAGAATTCCCAGTCAAAACTGAACACAACGGTGTTATCTGAGAGCCTGGCTACAGGTTGCTTTGCCTCAAGTCACAGTTTCCAGACCCTGCTGACGTTAACAAAGGACTTCCTGCCCCCACACAAATATGAAGAGCCCTAAGAAGCCGACAGGGTCGATGGGCGGTCTTGAACAGGCCCAACAGAGGTCTGAGCCCAGTGAGCAAAGGGAAAGGACACAGGCCACTAGAGGAATGCAGGTGGCACTCCAGCAAGCGCTCTCAGAACCACTAAAATAAAAATGCCAGGGTGGGACTCTCCACTGGCACAGACGCTGTAAAACCACTCAGCAGCATCTCATTGAGACAAACCATGGCCCACGGATTCTGCTTCGAAGCTTTTGTTGAACAGAGACTAGTCGGTGTGGGAGCCCAACACCCTGGTGCTGGGGCTCAGCACGAGCTGGCGGCGCCGTGACCCGGGAATGAACGAGCCACGGCTGCTTCTGAGGCTCATCTGCGTAGCGTGGACGTGTCACCCTCTCACTGTTGCTGCTGCCCGGGCTTCTGTGTGTAAGTCACTATTTATTCGAAGTCTGCAGACCACTCTGGGGGAAACATGGTTGTGGGGTGTGCAAGTCTGAGCTCAAGCCAGCACTGCACAGGCTGAGTCAGGCGGCCTTGACCTCCTCAGTCAGCAGTGCTGTCCTCAGCTCATCCGCTTTATTTGAAGGACTCTTGCAAGATGAAGCAAGTGGGGATAACAACAACAATACGTGCCATTGCGAGGCTCACCACGGCCTGTGAGCTGGGCACAGTCTGGTACCACAGATTGCTATTTAATTTTCAACCCCCGAATTAAGTCCTTTTATCCCTGACTTACAGTGGACACAGACTTGGAAAGATGCAGTAAAGGGCAAACATCGGGTAGCCACTATGCGGCAGGGTTCAGACCTTAGTCGTGCAGCTTTAGGGCCCGAACTTGATTCCTGCTCTCTAAAAGTCTCACAGGAGACTGAGCTGGGGGCGGGGGGGCGGAAGCCACGGCAACAACAATACAACACGCGGGGGTGGCTGGGGGCGGGCTACCACACGGCTGGCAGTTCCAGTTCTGTGGGTATAAAGAGGGCTAGAGCTCTGGCATCCTGGCCAAAAGAAGCAGCTAGAGTCTATAAGACACAAGAGCTTCAGAACGTACTTTCCCTATGTCTTGCAAGGCCTGAGAGGTGACGGGGAGAGCTGGACGTGATCAGTATGTGGTCTCCCAGGAGATGCACCGGGCACTCTATGTTGTCACTGGGATGGAAGTGTGAGCTGGGATGGAAGTGTGAGCTGGGCTTCTCTGTTCCACAGACAAGGAAATGCAAGGTCAGGATGCTTATCTCGAGAACCACACTTTTCACCTAAAATACTTTGCCACACCAGGAAAGCACCTGTACCAGCTCCAGCTGGGCCAGGCTGGACCCTGGCTCGCCCAGCAGGCCTCAGGCCTCCCTCTGGCCCTCTGCTGGCCAAGTCCTCTCAGCCGCCAGCCTCTCCTCCCCAATGCATGCCCTCCTGCCCCTCCCCCAGAAGGGTTCTTTCTTAGAGTAGCAGGACCTGTGCTGTGGGCTGAGCCGGACACATCCCGGCCCGACACGCTGCCTGGCACGTGGTGCGTCTCTGGGCCAAGAGGCTCTGATTAGGTGGTGCGCGCGCAGGGACTGCCCAAGCCATGACATGTTCCTTGGTGTCCTTGCTGTCAGCTTCTTGATATGTACACACTGCCGTGGCGGTTCCTGCACCTTTGGGCTCACGGTGCATGGCACACCCTGACATGAACACTGAGCAGCCACGCTGGAACGCAATGCCAGGCGTCAGCCAAAACACGACCTCAGCTAATGCCCACAGAGCCCCACCACCTGCAGATGAGGAAACTGAAGCAGGGGGGTGATGGTCTCGCCCAGGATCTGCCAGGCACTGAAGGACAAGCTTGAGGAACGTGGGCCCTCCTCTCTCACGCGCTATCCGGGTAGCAGGCCCAGGAAGCATTTGTGTAAAAACAGATGACCCATCAGTGGCACAAGACCTGTACTCCTGGCACATCTGCTTTAATGTTTGAAGACACTGACTTTTCCAGGAGAGAAAACTGCTGTGGAAACTAGAACAGGGAATTAGGATTTGGCAGGAACCCTGGCACTCTCCTCACGGGGCTGGGGCCAGGCCCAGGTCCCGCCTGCTCTGAGCCTGAGACCAGCCTGTCTCATGTAGGTTCTGAGGAGCCACCTGGGGGCAGTGTTGCACTAGGTGGCAGGACCTGGTCTGGAAGGTCTCCCTAAACCTGACTGCAGGCCTCTGGGGAGCCCAAGTTTGGGCTAAAACAGAGTCACCGGAGAGCCAGCGATGGTACGAGCTCACTCTCGTGGAGTGGGGGCACAGTCACTCGGCCACCATCACTTTCCAGGTCTAAAACCACCTGTACCCTTATTTCCTTATATATTTTTCTTTATTTTACCTGTTTACCTAAATTTTCTTAAGAGAAAGCTTTATGAAAAGAAAACTAAGACTAGTAATAAAATAGAAAAGGGGGGCAAATCCACCAAGCTGGACTGTGTGAAGCTGTGACTTACAGTAAGAAACCGGGTCTCCGGCCCGGTCCACGCTGGCACGGATCTCCCAAGGCCCTTACAATGTCCCACAGGACAGCGGTGAGGGAGGGGTCTTCTGTTATTCATTCAAGCCCCTTTCAGCCACACTGAGGTGCATATTAATCAAGTGACTTTCAGAAGCCTCTGAGGATGAGGGCTGGTCCCCGGCAGAAACAACCTCATGAGGAAGGAATCGGAGCTCTCAGCCTCATCCCTGGCCTGGATGGGGAGGGGGCTGCGGGCGCTGCCAGAGGCCAGCCAGCTCCACCACCTCTGTCAAAGCCCAGGAGGTGGGGCCCAGGGAGCCTCAGGGCTGGTGAACACATGGAGCTGGGAGAGCGGGTGCTCAGTGGCACAGCAGCCCCACGCCCCCCCCCCTTGGCCGTGAGTCTTCTACCTGGCTGCCCCCGAGTGACATCCTTTAATAATTAACTGCTCACCTGGTGAGCGGATGGATTTCCTGGGCTCTGTGAGCTGGTTAGCAAATGAAGCAAACCCAAAGAAGAAGTAAGTGTGGGAACCTCTCATGTATAGCGACTGGCCAGACGACAACCTGGCCTTGCACTGGCTGTCTCAGGTGGATGTGAGGGCTGTCGTGTGGGCCAGAGAACTGCTGGCAGACATCCGACTGCTAGCGAGCTCGGAGCGCGTGCGAGCGGGGGAGCACGGTTACTTTGTACCCGTCACTTCCCATCTCTAAGCTTGGGATTGTGCTCTTCATTTAAAAAGAGAAATTAGCAAGTCTTAGGTAATAAAGGTACTGTACATCAACAAAGAGCACCTCTCTCCCTGTCAGTAATGAAACGAGTTGACAGGAAATTGCAAAAGCAGTAACAGCCTCGCTATGGGGTGTTGTGCAAACATCTGTGGAGTGAGCACAGCCCGAGTGAGGAGGACACAGAGTGAGGAGGACACAGTGCTCGCCATGGCTCTGCCTGGGGCCCTTTCTCTGGCAGCACCTTTTACACACCTGTGCCCCAGGTTATCTGTAACATGGTGTCACCCCTTCAGAATGGTCCCTCTGAAATGCAAACACATTAAAAAAAACAAATAAAAGAGCGCCATGTCCCCCCCCCCAGACGCTGTGTGAACAAAGGGATCACAAAAGCAGCTTTGAAGCAGAGGCCACCAAGCCAAAAGCCAAGACTGGACCCCGCTGCACAAGGAGCCCGAGTCTCCCTGCTCGCTGCAGAGGGAGGAAGCTGCAGCAGCGTCACTTACGTTGTCTGAATTTTGGTGAACTCGGGGACTTCTTCTTTTTTCTTTCTGAAGAGGAACCAGTAGGTCAGGAGACCGACGATGAGCGAAAACAGAATCATGTCTGTCATGCTGAAGAGAGACACTTCTTCAGCCGCAGCCTCAGACGCGGTGGCATCCATGCTGGAGTCTCCCATGCCGACCACAGCACTGCGGGAGGCGAAACAACAGGCGTCAGCAGGGAGCCCGCTGGGAGCCCAGGGCCCGGGCTGGGTCTCACGTCACAGGGCTGCGGCGGCGGGCAGCATGGTGGGGCGGGAGCTGCTGGTTCACAACACGGGACCAGGCCCGCGGGAGCAAACAGCCCCGTGCGCCGGCGCAGGCCAAAGGGGGCGAGCGAGCGCGGACTCCCAGGGCTGCGGCGCCTCCTCCAATCCCCACGGACGCAGTGGAGAGCCGGTTCCAGACCAGGAGGGCTACACAATCCCCCCCCTGGCCGTGTCCTCACCCCTGCTCATTTCAAAGGTCTTCAGGCCTGGATGGCTCCTGGAAAATAACCACTGGGCCCTTGGAAAGTACCCCGATAAGCATGTCTGCATTCCTGAGACCAACCTTGGGCCCCTTGGAGAGTTTTCAGTAACGAGGTGACCCAGGGCCCTGATCACAATGTACCAGTTGGACTCCTGGGGTGCTGGGGCCTGAGTAGGTAAGTGGGTACCTGGTGCCTGCAACACTAGATCCAGTAAATCCTCGGATGCCATGGCCTTGCCAGCTGGCAACACTTCATATGAGATGCCAGACAAGGTTGCCAGGAGAACGAAGCCCCGACAGTGTGACTGCGGCGAGGGGACAGCTGGGCATGGGCGTCTGGTTTCATCCACCTCATGGCGCCTTTTCCTGTGTGAGTTTGTCTGTACCCCTCAGCTGTAATAAACCATAACTGGAAGTGAAACGGGCTTTTTGAGGTCCGTGAGCCCTGGTGAATCACTTAACCAGAGGGTGGTCTTGAGGACCTCCCACACACTGACTTAGCGCCTCTGAAAGTTACTCAACGGGTCCCTGCACCTTTGAAACCTGCCGGCAGGCAGCTGTGCGTGCGATGAGTCAGCAAAGGCCAAAGCCAGAGTGCCAGTTAGAACCTCAGCAGGCATCTCTGCCAGGCAGACCGAGGCTGACGCGGCTCCCAGACCTCCGTCACTCCATTTTGTAATCACTGCTATTACCAATGGCCTGCTTTCACCACAACTGGGCTCTGCGGCTCAGGCGTGCCTTAGTCATGCCCCGGCCTCCGGCTCGGGCAGGTGGCTCCCACCTCACTCCGGCAGAGCAGCCCTCACGTCTGAGGGCGCTGGGCGGGGCCCTGCCGCTCTGCAGCCCGGGGGGCACATGCCCTCAGGCTGGGGTCTTCATGTTTCTCACTGGCTGGTGCGAGGTGCTTCAAAAGGCCGAGCGTCTGAAACATATCAGCCTCAACTGACATGTGACATTAAAGGACAAAATTAACTCTGAGCCCACGGAGAGGACTGGTTTATATTTAAGTGTTAACTTATCAACACATGTAATGTTTACTCAACATTAGTCATGTCTTTCTATCCAACCCTGTTGTGTTGTCTGTCACACCCACAAGCCTCCTGTCACGCGGCTGTGATGGATTCTGGAAGGACCTGTCCCACAGGGAGCCTGGCTGGAACCAGCCGGGGCTCTGGTCAGGGTGGATATGCGGACACACTGGTGGCCCTAGCAGAGCCGGTCACTGGACACCAGGCCCACATTCCACCAACCCTCTCCCTTACTCTGCCACTGGGGGAACCAGGGCCCACAAAGCTACAGGGCTGTTGCCTGACCCTGGTTTCCACCTACAGCACTTTCCAAAGTCCTGGTGTGCCAGAGAGCAAGGGAACTGGCAGAGCGGCCTCTGACTCTCCCATTCTCGCCAACACCACACCACCCGTAGCGGCTCCTAAAGGTGAGCCCTCGCACTACAGCCAGAGTCGTCGGATCACGTGCCCCGATCAACCCCCTCACATGGTCTCCCATCATGCTGTGTACAGACAAGTCCTCACCTGTCCAGGCGCCGTGTGATGCGGCCCCTGGAGACCTCTGCCACGTCTTGCTTACTGCTGCCCTCTTTCCTCACACAAGCCTCCAGCCTGCTGCAGGGCCCTTGCGTATTAATGCGTATTAAAGAATCTGGACGTTCTACTTCTAATCTAGTTATCTGCAGGGTTCTCTCCTTCGCTTGGTTCAAGCCTGCTCCCACGTCATCTCAGAGAAACTGGGCCTCACCGAGGCATTTGGTCATCTGGCCACTGGCCCTCCCTTGCCCCCTCACAGCACGATCATCTCTGCCACTAAGGCACGCGTTTCCCCCACTGGCTCCCTGCTTGCCTGAAGAGCTGGCCCACAAAAGCAGGGGCGTTGTTCACAGCCCCGCAGATGATGAATATGGTGGTTAGTCATCCACTTGGTGAGTGGACGCAGGGCGGAGTACTGGCTCGGCCTGCCTGGCACGCGACGACAGCCAGCTACACCTGAGAAGCACGATGCCCATACAGCTTCAGGGCTGTGCTTGGGAGGCGACGATCGTGCTTCTGCATTCTTGCTCTGTGTCCAGCACCTCAATTACAGCTTCCTTCAGCATCCCCGGTCTCCCCAAGTTCCTGCACCATGGCAGAAATGCCCAAGCGCTGCTGGCGGAGAGTGGACACTGCAGCAGGCAAGCGTGGGGGTCAGGGGCCCTGGGCTCCCACCATCACAGTGGACACTGCCAGCACTCAGAGCTGGGGTCTCAGAAGAACTGAGAATGTCCCAGCAGCTTTGACTCTGAGGCATGAATCTTCACATGGGTAAAAGCTGAGAGGAGCGATGGGAAGGACTCTGGTGGTCACTTAATCCCAGGTCTCGATCTACAGTGGGGAACTGGAAGCCCCAAGGGCATCAGCAGCTCAAGTCCATGGCAGAAATAGGTGGGGGGGGGGGCTGTGTTCAGGACCCACGTCCGAGTGGGAAGGCTTGCTGCACCCCTGTCTCCCCTGTTCTGCTGGAAGCTCCTTGAGGAGGAACAGTTTCTTAGGGAGCTTTGTATCCACCATGGTGGGGAAGGAAGGACGGGCAGGTTGGCAAGAAGGAATTCACCTGGGAGGAAAGCCCAGCTCTGCTCCCCTCACACTCCAGCCTGCGGCTGGAGCTGCCAACACGCTGCTGAACTGTCACTGAAGTCACTGCTTCCCACTGAAGTGCACACAATCGCCACCCGCCCCTGCAGCTTGCACTCGGTGCCCCCAGCCAGGCCTCTGCCACGGGCCTGTGATGCTCTCCTTCCAGTTGCTTCCTACCTGGTCTTCAGACCTCAGCACGATCATCACTTGTGTGGGTCACACTGGTCTGGCACAGTGCTTGGCACACAATCTGGCGCTCAGTATGACCCATGAGTGAGTGACGGGTGCACATGAATACACGGCACACAGGATGTACAATGAACATGCAGTGCGCAGGTTCAAAAGACATGCGGGGCTGGCAGCACGTCCACTCGGCCATCGTGTACAACAGATTTCCAGCCTTTGTTGGCCATGGGGCCCCTGGAAGCTCAGTGCAGCCTACAAGGTATCCTGAGGCCCAAAGAAACACCTAATGATTCCATTTATAAAGTAGTTAGCACCAAATAACCTGGAAAACCAGGCTTTGCAAAGACAAAAAGTTATCAAAAGTAGATCAATGTAGATCTGATGTTGAATCTGTGAACCAGCTAGTTATTCCAAGCTAGTTATTCACATGGAACTGAGATGTGGACTTTCACTGCAGTTAGACACCTCTGGGTCTGCCACACGCTGAGAAGCCCTGGCACAGTCTGTGAACCAAGGACTCAGACACACGCCACCCCGGCTCTGAAATGCCGTGGCGGGGACAATCAGGACACACTGACGGCTATCCTCTGTTCTGTCCTCTGCGTGGCAAAGTGACCAAAAGAGTGCAGCCCCCCCCAACCCCCCGCCCCAGCACCTTTCTGATCTGGAAGGATGTTTCAGTATGTGAGTCATTTCTTTTTTTTCACATTGAGAAGTAGGAACATGAGACAGTGCAGAGCACATGGGACCAGAAGCAGCGTTTGTCAGCAACAAACAGACCCCACCCCCAAAGTGAAATGGATTCAAAGAGCAGCATCAAGACCAGGCTCTTGCCACAGCCCTGGCAGCAGCTGGCTGAGAATCTGGGCAAACCCCTTCCTGGCCATAGGATCTGATGTCTTCACAAATTAGACTCAGAAATGAGGTATGACAAATAGAGCAGCCGAATTGATTCTCTCCACCCCAAATAGAGTAGATCAGATCTGACCTTTTAGTACAAATTAGATCTGCATGTAAGAACTTTCATTTTCATTGTAAAAAATAATATAGAGAGAAAAGGGGTCTAGAAGAGAGGAAGGGAGGGAGAAAGGGTAGGTGAGAGGGAGGGAGGGAAGGAGAGAGGTTGTTAGGGAGGGAGGGAGGGAGGCAACAGAAAGTCTGACATTATTCCTCCTGAATTTCAGCACTGGGCAGTTCCCTGGCCAAGGGCAGCAACTCCAATCCAGGTCCTGCAGCCCACAGATAGCTGAGCACACTGCAGGATGGACAAGTGACTGGCCGAAGCCAGGGCCAATGGCAGGAGCCTCTCCAGCTCCTGAAAGGGAAACCAGGCAAGAAAAGAAGGGCCTTCCCCATTTGACTCTTTTATAAAGTCATCGTCCAGGAAGTCTTTGTGGCTTTGCATTTACCATACCAACTTCAAAGGTGAGTAAGCAAAACCCAGCAACTGACCCAATGCTGAAATGACAGTGAGTGGAACGAGGACGGAAGCCAGCCAGCCTAGTGAACCCCAGTATGCAATCACCAGATAAGGATCTAGCGTCCCACCCCAGCGCTGTGGGGACCAGGAATGCACAGGGCCACAAACCTCTACTAAGATTTAGTGGCCTCGAGATAAGGGAAAAGCCCCAAGGAAACAAAGCCTGCTCTTGCCTAACAGCCCATCCTTCACACACCAAGACGTGCTCAGGCAGCGGTGACTTTTGGGGCTGCTCACGCAGGTGCCCCAAAGAGCAGCTGCTATACCCTACTCCAGCGGGAGTGGACCGCAGGCTTGTTATCCAAATCTAGACATGGCTGGCATGAATTCTTTGGATTTATCCTATTTGGGATTAGCTCGGCTTCTTGAATTATAGGTTTGAGAAC